AGTTCCCAAAAGCAGTTACCTGGCTCCTCAATCATAGTCACATTCCAGTGCGGCTGGGAAGGGCGCAAGGTCAGGCATCTAGCTCTTAAGAAAGACCATTCTCCGGCTTTGCCCAGTCTGGGACTGGTAGAAACCAGAGCAGATGGGCACTGTGACACTCTGCGTGGCGGACGGGTCAGTGGCCCCATTAGTCACAGAGGTGCTGAGGCACACCCACAGGTCAACGGAAGGTCCATTCCGTACGTGTCAAAGAGGGTGGCCCTCGGCCCTCAGTGCCCCTCACTGGTGTGTATCTTCTGGTGCTGCTGGGACCTGTCGGTTGTGAGTGATCTTTAAAAGTAGCTCAAGTAGATAAACTCTTAATTCAAGTTCACCTCCCTCCACGTGGGGCTTTAAAAACTCTACCACATAATGGTGCTTGATAGACCGAAGGCAGATCTTTGTGAGAAAGGGGTCCCCCTCACCAGTGCTGGTTCCCTAGGTCACTTAAGTGCTGGAAAAATGGGGGCGGGGTCCATAAACACGGAAGTCAGGTTTCTCAGCCTCTCAAAGGCAAAATGAAAAACAGAAAAGTTGCAAGGCTCCTCTAAAACCCAAATTGGTCCTTAAATTCTTAAAAGCAGACGAATCAGTTCTTCAAGCAGAAAGCAAGTCAGAATTTCAGACAGCGATTCTGTGCTGAAACGCTCGCGGCCTGACCCTCACTCGGTCTGGACTTGGGGTGCTTCCCTCCCCACCTCCCCCCCGTCCCTCTTCCCGCACTGGCCACAGAACTGAAGCAGAATGCCACTTTGAAACAAAGGCACGTAATCTCTACTCTCAATTAAAAAGCAAACTGAACTGGTTATCTGCTCCCCAAAAGAGCCCCTTTGTGACTGTCGATTATTCAGTGGCCTGACAGACGAAAAGGCTCCTTTGTCTGCAGTGGAGAGAAGTATCAGTGCAGAGACGGTCCTCAAACTGGCTGGTCACAGGAAAGAGAATCATAGACTGTGCCCTGGAGAGAACATTGGAAATTCCGTCCAGCTTCGCTGGAGCTGGGGAACCGAAGGGTCTAGAAAGGCTGAGTGATGCACCAGGCTCCTCGCTGGCCGGTCTGCTGGTTCCTATATTTCTTTACTGGATTTACAGGATTGAAATTTCCTTTCCGAGTCCTTTGTCACATACACAGGAGGGGTTCGCGTCCCCTCAGCGCAGTGGGCTGAGTGGTGGAGTTACATGTGATCGATGTGAAGTATTATGTGAATTACAGTCCCGCAGGGTAGGGGGAAAGCCAGTGCTTTGTCCCCCTGGACTCGGGTAGGTTATCACTTTGTCATTCGTGAGTCCAGCTGTTTTCCTCAAAGATCCAAATTTTCCATGACAATCATCTGGGGTTTTAATAACAGCACCTGGAAACAGCCTAAACCTATAGCCTGTTCCTTTTATACGTAAATAAATAATCGCGACACAGTTCTGAGGCCAGCACCCCACTCTGGGGGGAGGGGGAGCTGGTCTTTCCAGGAACGTGGACCCCACCCCCGTCTGACTCATGTAAACATGGATGGCACGGGCACACTTCGTGCGACGGCGGCAGCCTGTGTCTCCAGACGGGGGGTGAACGCCACCTCTCCCGTAGCCACGGGAGGCTGGGGGCCAGGCCTGGGCTTGGAGGAAGCAAGGGTTTCAGAGAGCTTGCCGGGGTCTCCAGGTTCATCCTGGTACTTCCTGAGACGCATCTCCCAGTTAGAAAAAAAACATAGAAATCATTTTCTTTTAAAAAGGATGCCCGGGGCCAGAGAGGAAGAGACTGCACAGGGCCGTGGGCCAGTGGGCAGAGCTGCGGCTGGAGGACGGTGTGGGACTGGGCGCCAGGGCTCCCTGCGCACGGCCAGAACCTGCCTGCCCGAGGGGCGAGAAGTGCCAGGAGCAAACGGTTGGGACTGGGAGCACCTCTGGGAGAACGTGCCTGCTGGACAGCTCACTGAATGGGTCAGAGGAGGAGGCCTTCGCTGGTGAAGGCTGGGTCCACTCCCAGCCCTGAATGAGCCAGACGGCACCCTCGCCCACCCCCTGCCTCACCCGCCTCCCTGCTTCAGCCTCACGGCCATCTCCCCAGGAAGGCTTCTGTGTGGTTCCTGGCCTTGCCCAGGCCCTGCCTGGAGGAGCGGAGGGAAGTACGTGGCTCCTGCCCCAGGTCCGGGCTGGTGGAGAAGCCGGAGCAGCAGAGCTGGGCTCCCCGGGGCTGGGCGGTGAGCGAGCGCCCGCCAGCCTAGGAGAGAAGCTCCAGGAGCAGTCTCCAGATGTGCACGGTGCCGGGGTCTGCAAAGCCGGATCCTGCAGGGGCGATGCTGGCTGCCAGGAGGAAAACCTCCCGCTGGTTGTCGACGGCCTGCAGGCCCAGCTCCCGCTGCAGCTCCGCCAGACTCATGGCCTCACTCAGGTCCTGGGGCGAAACAGAGAAGCCCGTCGGAGCAGCCCACAGTGCTTCCCAGCACCCCGCCTCGTCGTCCAGGAAATACACTGCTCTGGGGTTTCTTTAGGGAACACTGGAGCCTAAGCTCCCAGAGGCAGCCTCTGGGCCCCGTGGTCTAAACGTCCTCCCTCGTCTCTGACTTTCCTTTGTCCTAATCTCTTTTCACCCCGTCATCAGCCACTGTGGTAAGAAACAGTACTTCCTGTGTGTCAGGCACTGTGATAGGCACTCAGTCTTATTTAATTCCCACAGTCTGCACTTTACGGACGAGGAAATCGGCTCAGAGACGCTGAAGTCATTTAGCCAAGGAAAGGAGGAGAAGCGGCAGAGCCACTTTGAGTCTCAGGCTGGTGTGATGCCCGAGCTTGGGACCCTTAGAGGAATCCTGGCTCGGTTTCCTAAACTCGGTACTGGGGTCTTATAGTAGGGTCACTTACAAACGAGAGCCTTACCTCCGCCACTCCACGACACTGGCTAAGGAAGAAAAGAGGCCACTACAGAGCACGGCTGGTGAGGGTACGTTTTCATGTCAACCCTGGCCCCAAATTAAAATGATTCTTCTTAGAGCAATTCATGGACTACTGGGACCTTAGCTGCTATCTCCTGAAGGTCCTAAATTGCTATAAATTAGTTTATACATAGGAGGGTGATGTCATTCATTGTCCAAACTGGGGTAGTTCTTAGACTCAAAGGGGGTACTTTTAATAATTATACCAGAAAAACAGGACTGTCCCAGGCAGAGCAGGACATATGGTCACGTATTTACAAATGATTATCAAGTTATTTCCCAATAGGCAGGGGGAATCCGAGGTCAAAGACGCACAGCTTCAATCTGGCCAGGCTGGAAACACGTCTCATGGCTCTTGGACACACGGGCATAGGCCACAGAAAATGTGACAGGCCTCCGCGCTGTGGCAGCTCCACCGGGTGTTGAGGGTGGCGCTGCGGGTCTGGAATCCTGAGGGTGGCTGGGCCCGAGGCGGCCCTCTGGCACCCAGCGTGGTGGTTAAGAGCGGGAACTTTGAGGACGATCTGAGTTCCCGGGTCCTGGCTTTGCCGCCTCCCAGCTGTTACTCTGGGCATTGAAGGGTCAGGGCAAGGTCTGTGGTGAGGGTTTTGTAGGACCGAAGTGAGGCCGTGATCGTCAGGTGCTCAGCCCTGAGCCTGGCATACCGTGAGCACAGTAAATGTTAGTTACTATTTAATCTGTTAACTTCTTAGCATTTCCCAGCGTTAGCTCTTTGATCTAGAACCAGAAGTAACAAGGACGGCGGAATGAACAAGGGACAGGGTTTGGGATGAGACACCCCAGTTTCACTATTTTCAAGGTGTACAACCTTGGGGAGATTCCACAGTCCCAGCTTCAGATTCCCCATCCATAAAATAGGGCTAGTGTCCCATACCTTTGAGGGTCAATGGAAGCATAATATCAAATGTCATTCAAAACCACACCTGGCATCTAGTGGATACTTAATGATTATTTTTCTCATTTCTCCAGGATGACAAATGACGAGGAGGCAAATGAGAAGGCAGACAGGATGAGGACAGAGCACAGGCGGAAAAGGTGGGGACAGACTCTCCGTCAAGCGCTCCAGGTCACGGTCTGGGCCCTCCCAAGGGCAGCTGCTCCTGCCCAGGCATCTGCGGATCAAGCCCGACCGGCCTGAGCCGGCCTCCTGCAGCCCTCACCTGCTTGTTGGCCACCACGACGACAGGCAGGTCAGGGTCCTTGTCTAGCAGCTTGTGCAGCTCCTGCCGGGCCCAGGGCAGCCGTAGCCGGTCAGCCGAATCCACCACGAACACCAGCACGTCCACTTCATTCACAAACTCCTTCCAGTAGAAGCGCAGGTTCTGGCTGCCGCCAACTAAGGAGAGGCCAGGGGCCAGCTCAGAGCCTCGCCGGGCCCTGGCTCCCTTACTCACAGCCCCACCCCAACCCACCTTCCAGCTGCTCAAGGACCCACCGGCCAGGAACCAGGAGCCTGGAGCCAGGAAAAGACTGTGGATCCCAGAGCCAATCAGACTGGGTTTGGCTCCAGCTGACAGCTGGGGCTCCCCGGGCAGCCGCCACCTTCTAATACCGGTCTCCTCCTCACTGAATTTACCTAACAGGTCGCAGCAAAACCCAAAGGTACCATATGCCATGCACCTTCCAGAGGACTGGTGCATAGCAGGTGCTTAACAAACAGTACTCTCCAGTTCTGCCTCTTGCCAATCCCTAGCTTCCTCCTGGGTCACGGGGGCTGTGGTCAGAGGCCAGGACTGCCTGCCCTGCCTGTGCCCAGCTATTCTCTGTTCTCTTCCTCTTGTTCAGCCTGGACACCCCATTTCCTTTCCCTAGAAACGCGATAGTCGAGCCTACCACCACATAGCTGCCCGCGGAGCGTCCCCAACGTGGACTGCTTTCCTGTTCCCCTCTGTCCCTCCGCTCAGCCCCCACTGGTCACTGTGCGTCCTGGTGTTTCTGGTTATACTTCTGACACTTGCAGACTCTAAGCTCTTTGAGAGTTAGAGCTATTTACCTCTGGGTCCCCCCAAAGCCCTCGGCACAATGCCTGGCACACAGCAGGCACTCAACAAGTATTTACTGAGTGCTTACCAGGTGCCAAGCACTGACCTGGATGCTGGGGATACAGAGGGGAACCAGGCAGGCAGGGGCCCTGTGTGCAAGGAGTGCCCCCCCCCCCCGCCACAGCCAGGATGGACACAGCAACACCACAAACACGTTTCAGAAAGGAAGGACAGAAAGCGAGAGGGGCTGAGGGGGTGGCTTTGGATCGAATGGTCCGGGAAGGTCTCCCTAAGGAGGTGGCATGTGAGCCAAGTCTGGAACGATGAGAAGGAACCAGCCATGGGGAGAGGCAGGGAAGGGAAGAGCAAGCTCCACGTGTTTGAGAAACAAATGGCCGGGGTGGCTGAGGCACTGCCAGAGAGAGGGCAGGGGGGAAGCCATGACCAGTAAGGGTGGCCAGGGCTGGACCACACAAGGCCAGTAAGGCCACAGTGAAGCAGTGGGGAGCCCCTTAAAGGGTTTTCATCAAGAGTGACGTGATCTGAGAGATAACACTGGCTGACCCTGGGGACAGAAGTGGAAGCAGGAGACCTGCTGTAGTACTGAGAGGTGATGGTGGCTTGGACCAAGCAGGCGGTGGTGGAGGTGGGGACAAGTGGACAGACCAGAGAGTAGGCAGATGGGCCTAGCGAATGAAACGGATGTGGATGGGGGGAGGGAGGCCTTATCAGACATCCACAGAGGCCTATTCTCCGCTGGGCTCCAGCACTGACACTGCAGGAGACCACAGCAAAGTGGGGGTTATGGGAAGGGAAAGCCGCCCCCCCCCACCCCCCAGGACTTGAATGGGAGAACTGGGCTTGGATCCCGGCCGGGTGACCCTGTGAAAACTGGACTGGTACTGGTTAGACCCTCGGCGAACATGAAAACACCAAACCCCTTCTCCTGGGGCTGGAGGAGGGGGCACCATCTCTGCCAGAAGAGTGGGCCTCAAGTGCAGAACCCCCAGCTGACCCTTCTGCGTGTCCCTGGGAAAGTCTGTTGAAGGACTGAACCCCAGATGAATATCAGTTTGCTATAAGCAGGGAGGAAAGATGCAGCCAGGACAGACCAGCAAGCAAGCGCCCGAAATCAGAGGAATGGCGCCCATTCAAGCCAACGGGCAGGCCCTCGGAGTCCGATCCCCTGCCTAGCGCTTAACTAGACCCACCCCGTGTTTATGGGCGGAGTCCTCTGGCTGTCAGGAAGTCCACCTGTCTCTCCTCACTGAGTCTGGCTGGACACAGGTGGCTAAGTACTGCTGTCTTCTCTCAGAATCCCAAGCCTAACACCAAGGGCAGGGGGCTGCTCAGACCATCCTGATGATTCCTTCGACAAGCTCTCCCAGGTACTGGCTTGGTCCTACCCATCTGTATCCCAGAAACCTAGTCAGGGGTACAGGCTGGTACGTGGCAAATACTGCAGCAGGAGAGAAGCCCTAACTTAGCCTGAGAGTCAGAGAAGACGTCACAGGGACATCACGCTCAGCCTAAACCTTGAAGGATCAGTATTAGTTTATCGAGGGAAGAAGGACTTTTCAGACGAAGAGAACTGCTTGCAAAAGATATGAAACAGCACGTGTCCTTCAGAAACAAGCACCGTAGCATGCAGCTTGCCCTCGAGAGCTGGGTCCGCATTAGCTAGGTGAACTTAGATAAATTAACTTGCTGGGCCTCGGCTTCCCCGTGTATATAATGAGGGTACTAACTCTCCAGTTGTGTGGAGTTGCTGGGAGGGTCTCATTAAGGACAGTCATGGGCCACATAATGTTTCAGTCGACGTAGGACCACCTATATGACATTGGTCCCATGAGATTATAAGGGAGCCCAGTGATGTCACAGAGCAATGCATTACAAGTGCCTATGGTATTCAGAACATGCTACATAGGCACATAGCCTGGGAGCAAGAGGCTACGCAGCACAGCCCAGGTGTGCAGTGGGCTGGACCGCCCAGGTGTAAGTGCAGTGATGTTCCCGTAAGGATGAGATCCCCGTCTGTATTTCTCAGACCCTATCCCTGTCCTTAAGCGAGGCAGGACTGGAATGCCTGCCAAACGACTGGCACATGGGAAACTTTAGCTATTGGTATCCGTGTTAGGAAGGTGGGCTTCAGCAGGGGTGAGGGACATCAGGACCAAGCTGGAGCTGCCTGTTCACGAAGGGCCCTCCGCATTCAAACATGGAGCTTGGACTTCTCGCTGTGCCCCAAGGAGGCGGGGGAAGGATTTCATGCAGGCGCGCGCGTCCTGCAGACACGTGCATTTTGGAGCCACGCCCAGGCAGAGGCCCCGCTTGGGTCCCACTCGGGTGACAGGGGAACGGTGTGTGTGTTGGGGCGGGGACGAGGCGGTCTGCTCACTCTCTAGCAGGTCCACCTCGAAGTCTTTGGTGGGCAGGCGCACGGAGTTGAAGCCCCAGGTGGGGACGTGGCCTTCCAGCGGTGGCTTCCCGGACAACACGCGCAGGAACGTGCTCTTCCCAGAGCCGTCCAGCCCCAGCACCAGCACCTCGCGCTGCTCCAACTCCTCCAGCGCCGGCTCCTCGTCGTCCTCGTCCTCGGGCTGCGGGGCACAGGTCAGGCTGTGGCCTCATTCACCCTCCTGGCCCTGCCCGAGGGCGTGCTGAAGGCCACAAAGCGCCCATCCCTGCCCTCCAACCGTTAAGGGTAGGCAGGCGCCGCCTGGTGCAACGGGACGAACGCGGCTTCGGGTCCTGAATCCCCAACCCCGTTTTCCAAGCTTTCCCCGAGTGACCTCGGGCAAATTCCTCGTGCCCGCGTCCCAGGGCCCTAGGTCCCACGGAATCCGCGGACAGAACCTCTCCGCGCCGCGTGGCCACGCGTTTGCGGAGGGGGCGAAATGAAGGTACTGGATAAGATGGTCCCTAAAGACCCTTCCAGCATTCTGCAAGGCATTGATTCTGTGAGCATGACTAAAAGAGGAGAGATTTAACAATATTTAAGGCAGGAGAATTCAGGCAGATGCTCAGGAAAACATGTCCTAACTAAATTCTTGCTGAGCTTCAGAATACCCTGGTAAGAGAAATGATGTGATTCATACCGAGAGTTATGGAAAATAAAATGAAGCACATGAGGTTGGGGGAAAATCATCTTATACTGGCAGAGAGATAAGCTCCTTTATCCAGCCAGTCTCTCCTCATTTCACCATGGCTTGAAGGTTTGTTTTGTCA